AGAAGAATGTATATTCTGTTAATTTGGGGTGGAGAGTTTTGTAGATGTCTATTAGGTCTGCTTGGTGCAGAGCTGAGTTCACGTCCTGGATATCCTTGTTAACTTTCTGTCTCGATCTGTCTAATATTGACATTGGGATGTTAAAGTCTCCCATTATTATTGTATGGGAGTCTAAGTCTTTTTGTAAGTCTCTAAGGACTTGCTTTATGAATCTGGGTGCTCCTGTATTGGGTGCATATATATTTAGGATAGTTAGCTCTTCTTGTTGAATTGATCCCTTTACCATTATGTAATAGCCTTCTTTGTCTCTTTTGATCTTTGTTGGTTTAAAGTTTCTTTTATCAGAGACTAGGGTTGCAACCCCTGCTTTTTTTTTTTTTTTTTTTGCTTTCCATTTGCTTGGTAGATCTTCCTTCATCCCTTTATTTTGAGCCTGTGTGTGTCTCTGCACGTGAGATGGGTCTCCTGAATACAGAACACTGATGAATCTTGACTCTTTATCCAGTTTGCCAGTCTGTCTTTTAATTGACACATTTATCCCATTTATATTTAAGGTTAATATTGTTATGTGTGAATTTGATCCTGTCATTTTGATGATAGCTGGTTATTTTGCATGTTAGTTGATGCAGTTTCTTCCTAGCGTTGTTGATCTTTACAATTTGGCATGTTTTTGCAGTGGCTGGTACTGGTTGTTCCTTTCCATGTTTAGTGCTTCCTTCAGGAGCTGTTGTAAGGCAGGCCTGGTGGTGACAAAATCTCTCAGCATTTGCTTGTCTGTAAAGGATTTTATTTCTCCTTCACATATGAAGCTTAGTTTGGCTGATATAAAATTCTGGATTGAAAATTCTTTTCTTTAAGAATGTTGAATATTGGCCCTCACTCTCTTCTGGCTTGTAGGATTTCTACTGAGAGATCCGCTCTTAGTCTGATGGACTTCCCTTTGTGGTTAACCCGACCTCTCTGGCTGCCCTTAACATTTTTTACTTCATTTCAACCTTGGTGAATCTGACAATTATGTGTCTTGGGGTTGCTCTTCTCAAGAAGTATCTTTGTGGTGTTCTCTGTATTTCCTGAATTTGAATGTTGGCCTGTCTTGCTAGGTTGCGGTAGTTCTCCTGGATAATATCCTGAGGAGTGTTTTCCAGCTTGGTTCTATTCTCCCTGTCACTTTTGGGTACACCAATCAAACGTAGATTTGGTCTTTTCACATAGTCCCATATTTCTTGGAAGCTTTGTTCGTTCCTTTTTACTCTCTTTTCTCTAAACTTATTTTCTCGCTTCATGTCATTAATTTTATCATCAATCACTGATATCCTTTCTGCCACTTGATCAAATCAGCTACTGAAGCTTGTGGTGCATGCGTCACCTAGTTCTCATGTCATGGTTTTCAGCTCCATCAGGTCATTTGAGGTCTTCTCTACACTGTTTTTTCTAGTAAGCCATTTGTCTAATCTTTTTTCAAGGTTTTTAGCTTCCTTGTGATGGGTTTGAACATCCTCCTTTAGCTTGGAGAAGTTTGTTATTACTGATCTTTTGAAGCCTACTTCTGTCGACTCATCAAAGTCATTCTCCATCCAGCCTTGTTCCGTTGCTGGTGAGAAGCTGCGATCCTTTGGAGGAGAAGAGGCGCTCTGATTTTTAGAATTTTCAGCTTTTCTGCTGTGGTTTCTCCCCATCTTTGTGGTTTTATCTACCTTTGGTCTTTGATGATGGTGACTTACAGATGGGATTTTGGTATGGATGTCCTTTTTGTTGATGTTGATGCTATTCCTTTCTGTTTGTTAGTTTTCTTTCTAACAGTTAGGTCCCTCAGCTGCAGGTCTATGGGAGTTTGCTGGAGGTCCGCTCCAGAACCTGTTTGCCTCGGTATCACCAGCGGAGGCTGCAGAACAGCAAATATTGCAGAACAGCAAATGTTGCTGCCTGATCCTTCCTCTGAAAGGTTCGTCTCAGAGGGGCACCCGGCTGTATGAGGTGTCAGTTGGGTCCTACTGGGAGGTGTCTCTCAGTTAGGCTACATGGAGGTCAGGGACCCACTTGAGGCAGTCTGTCCGTTCTCAGAGCTCAAACACCGTGCTGGGAGAACCACTGCTGTCTTTAGAGCTGTCAGACAGGGATGTTTCAGTCTGCAGAAGTTTCTGCTGCCTTTGTTCAGGTATGCCCTGCCCCCAGAGGTGGAGTCCACAGAGGCAGGCAGGCCGCATTGATCTGTGGTGGGCTCCACCCAGTTCGAGCTTCCTGGCTGCTTTGTTAACCTAGTCAAGCCTCAGCAATAGTGGACGCCCCTCCCTCAACCAGGCTGCCACCTTGCAGTTCAATCTCGGACTGCTGCACTAGCAGTGAGCAAGGCTCCGTGGATGTGGGACCCGCTGAGCCAGGCATGGGATATAATCTCCTGGTTTGCAATTTGCTAAGACCATTGGAAAAGCGCAGTATTTGGGTAGCAGTGTCTCGATTTTCCTGGTACAGTCTGTCATGGCTTCCTTTGGCTATGAAAGGGAAATACCCTGACTCCTTGTGCTTCCTGGGTGAGGTGATGCCCCGCCCTGCTTTGGCTCGCCCTCTGTGGTCTGCACCTGCTTTCCAGCCAGTCCCAATGAGAAGAACCAGGTACCTCAGTTGGAAATGCAGAAATCACCCGTCTTCTGCATCAATCACACTGGGAGCTGCAGAGTAGAGCCGTTCATATTCAACCATCTTGGACTTGGGTGTATTTTTTAAAATCCATCATTATAGTCTTGTTTTTCCCCTTTACTAGTTAGAAAATTATATGCTTCTGTTTGATTCTTCAGTTGATGTCCTAGAAATTCTCAACCATCCTTAACTTATTCAAAAGCCCAATGTTAACAGATACCTTTACCAGTGTCCACCTGGATTGTAAACAAACTTAGAACACTGTTACTCCATTTGCCCTACTCTCAGCTAATATATTTCTGTTATTGTGCACTTTAATTGTATATTTTAAACTTCACAAGATCTCGTTATGTAGTCTGTGTTTAGACTCACTCATTTTTTTTGCTCTATTTTTTTCTATATCTCTGCTTTTCTATCAGGGAGTCTTCTGCATGAAGCATCTTCTTTAGAATTTTTTTACAGAGCAGATTCGATGAACTCTCAGATTTATTTTGTGTCATGTATTTGAAAATATATTACTTTTGCCTCTATTATTCATTAATGAATGTTTTCACTGGCTTTAGAATTTTAGATCAGCAATTATTTTCTTTCAGCACATTGAAGATATGTCTAGGTATGACTGACTTTTTTTTTCTTTTTTCTTTTTTACTTTATCCCAGTTGCAGTATGTTGGGTTTCTAGAATGTGTGGATTTGTGTCTTTCATTGATTCTCAAATTTTTCTTAGCCATTAGCTCTTCAAATGCTGCTTCTACTCCATTCTTTCCTTTGTTCTTGGGTACCAGTTATGCATTATACTTCATCAGTGTATCCTCTATTTGGAGGAGTATGTCTTCTGTATTTTTCTGAATGCAGCATAAAGAACTGAAAGAAGCATCTTCCAAAAGTTAACAGTTTATTAATGTCACATGCTTTTCACATTATACAGTTAGATATTTCCTTCATTCTGTGGTGGGTGGTGGGACAGGACAGAGTATGTGTGTGCATGGTATATGTGTAAAATCCCAGAATGCTTTATTTCCAGAGGAGAACATTATAAGATAGGGTTTATTCAAATGAGTCTTACAATCTGCTCTGTAAGAAGTCATAAAGTTTTGACGTAGGAATGACCTGAATTGCCCTGCAAGAGAAGTGGATTCTTTTAAATATACTTTTCTTTAACTCTTATTGCACTTTTTGTCTTTTTTCATTCAGGCAACTCAAATTTTTTAATTGCCAATTTCTGTTTCTTTTGATTCTACAAAAGAAACTATGTTTCCGGTAGCCCCTAAACCTCAGGATTCCAATCAACCGTCAGATAGACTCATGACTGAAAAACAGGTAAACTTAAAATATTTTAAGACATTGCCTCTCAAAATATGTGCCAAAGAATGCTACATCTGCAAACAGGAAAATTTGACTTTAAAAGGATTCTTTTCTCATAATTTTGGGAAATGCTGGGTTAAAGACTATGAAATGGTTTAATTACTCTAAGACTTCACAATATTAGTCTCCAAAGGGAGGATTTAGTATACAACATTTCATACCTACTTAACACTGGTTTGATGAACATTTCATTAGATTAGTGTTCTGTAGCATGTACTTTGGAAAATGCCATTCCCAGCTATTTTCAGAATTTACAATTACTTTACCTTAAAATGTAAGAGGTATCAGGGAACAATATGTATAAGTTAATCATCCAAAATATGTGACTTTATTATGTATAGAGCATTTTATTTTTATGAATTACAGTAGATGTTCTGAGACACTAACTCAGAGCTTTTGGCTCCTAAAACAAACATCAGTGATAATTTTAGTTGTGTCTACCACGTAGTTAAAGTCTGTGATCAGAAAGACTAAAGCATAAATGAAGGAAAAGTTATGAGTGGGAGGAGGTGTCAAAAAAAAGGAGGAAAAAGTCAACAGTCAAAAAGAAAGATTTATTTGACTTTGAGAGCATCTTTCAGTATGATTCTGTTAGAGTCAGTTATCCAGATGGACAGGCTCCTTTTTATAGTTAGACCTTGTCCATTTGACAAGGAGCTGTCTGAAATATTGGCTCCAACTAGTCAGGTATGTTTTGATTTTTTTGTGACCCTAGTCATTATGAAAGTGATACTTAGAAGTGACTCACCTTTTCTTTACTATTCAGTTATTATAGCCTAGTGTGCAGCTGTTTATTCTGAGCAGGGCGTGGTTTGGCTTATTAAATCTAAAACCTTAGAATTGTTTGATTCACTGAAATTACTAGGTGTTTTTATTGTTGTTAGTTTTGTCCATTGAGGCCTACATGTGAGTATTCTGTATAATGTGACAATTTGTGCTTATTTACATACTTCTAGTCTATTACTAATTTTGGTAGAAACAATAAATGTGTTTTTTTGGATATTGTATATGCATAAACATTTATACTTAAAACTTTTGAAGAAAATGTTCTATTCTGAAAATGCAGGAAATTACGTATGAGAGAATTTCTTCACTTTATGTCTTAAAGTTGACCCTTTTTCCTCTCTTTGTAATTGTAGCAGGAAGAAGCAGAATGGGAAAGCATAAATGTGCTATTGATGATGCATGGCTTAAAACCTTTGTCTCTAGTCAAAAGAACAGATCTCAAAGGTAATTAGATCCTATTCTTGCTGCTTAAGGTAAAAAGTATTTCTCCTTAAAATTTTTTTTATCTTAAGTCTTTTGCCTTTTATTTTTACTATCTGTATTACATACTTTTTAAAATGTAGATCTCATCATTTTTGACAAACAGTCATCACAAAGGATGAGACAGAATTTGAAATTGTTGGTGGAAGAAACATCACGTCAACAGAACATGATACAGGAGCTTATAGAAACTAATCAGCAGCTTAGGTAAGAAAATGGAAAATATTTCTTTTGAATTGTTTGTATGCATTCTAAAAATAACTGCATTGAAAACAATCTTGAATTTAATTTCCCATTTTGATTAAATATTAAACTAAAAAATATTTTTGGCCGGGCGCGGTGGCTCAAGCCTGTAATCCCAGCACTTTGGGAGGCCGAGATGGGCGGATCACGAGGTCAGGAGATCGAGACCATCCTAGCTAA